TAGTATTAATATGTGGACAAATACTTTGTTAGTGGTGGACAATACGCATCCTGCCTATTTCTGCCCCTTCTACACAAACCAAGAGCACTGTATGAGGTAGTAAGGGTGAACTTACTGAAGGTAAGAAGAAGAGACAGAATGGAGTAACATTTGCCTGGTGAGGAGAAAATCATGCTCTGGGTTGTTGTCGTCAGAATGGCCTTTATAACTTTGCTTTGTTTTAAAAGTGATACTTACTCTTTAGAGGTTTCTGTGTGGCTCCCGTTTGCAGTCAGAGACAGTGTATTAGCAGCCCTGCTAAATTCTCCTACAAAGTAGGAAGAAATGCCATTTCTTACAATAGTAATATCGACTTAAAGGGCATTACCAAATTTACACCATTCTGCAATATTTTTAACAGTATTATTCTCATTCCATATTATTTAGCGATCACTGGTTTTCACGTTGACTCACAGAAAAACTACTCCAAAGTATGCTGAATTCAGTAGATGTCTTTTTACTGACTTTAGAAGTCTGGATGCAGTTCAGAGAATGGAATTCTAATTAAAATGGAGTGCAGGCACTCACTGCGCTTTCTGAAAGCGTTTACAACAAATACTGATCAGCATTAGCTGGAAGGTTTGATTTAATCCTTAGTGAGTTATAAGCGGAAAGATCTCTTAGTTAACTTTTGAAGTTTAAAGATTGGCTGTAGCTCATTCAGTGCATAAGTGTGGGATAGAAAACCAGAGAACTGGTACGTTATTCTGACATAACAGAAATACTTATTTAGACGTGTAATCCTCTTTCATGAGACTCCAATACCCTTAATAACTTTGAGGAATATCTTATCCCATTCAGCCACACTGAAGTAAGTTTGAGTATTCGCAAGTCAGTATGCAAACTTAGACTATCCTCTAGGAGATGAGTCAAAAATAAAACAATACAGTTTACCTGCAAGATTCAGTGGGAAGGTGCTCTCTACACAGCACTGAGTTGTTGGATGAATAACCACATCTTATTATTTTAACATTCTCTGATGCCTTTGGAGAAAACTGTAGTTTGCTCATGCAAAAATATAACACCCATTTTCTCTGATTTTAGCTTTAATAACTTGGTTGGGTTCGGATAGCGCTGTCCAGTTTTTATACCATACAACTCTGATGTCTTTAGGTACAAAATTTGATATGGAAACTTCAAGACAGGCCGTCTTATTGGCTATGGTTTGTGCAGGAATCTTTCTTATCTCGGAGACAACAGGAGACTTTGCTAAGAAAGAAAGAAAGGTTTCCATTAGAAAGATGCTGCAGTAAAATATTTCTAGGACGCTACACCAAGAGTGATTTGTAACAGAAAAAATTGCAACAGAACAGTTACCTGCTGCTCTTTGAGTCCTCAGCACTTGGTTTTAGTAACTTTCTGTACATACATACATACATACTGAACCTACTAAAACAAAGGAATTTTGCCCTTCATGAAAGGGTTCTTTCCTGGCAGCAGGAGTAAGACCTGCTGTCTTTGAGACCTCTGTCAACATGATAGCAATTAAGTACTTGTCTTAGGTGTACAGCCTGTTCACCTACATACATCACTTCCCCTAACTAAAATATTGTTACTTGTTTTGCTGCAAAATCGGGTTGAAGAGAAATCTCACTCTACAGTTCTACATCAAACTAATTGAGAAGTAAACCCCAGACAAAGCACATAGTACAGACCTTTCTCAAGTACAAAAGCTAAAATCTCTATAGCCTTCTCCCTGCTAGCATTTTACAGCAGGGTAAATGTGAATTTGCATCCTGAAGCTCAGACAAAACACCTTGTTAGTATTAAAAGGGAAAGTCTTGCTCTCTTCTACTCAAAGCTAGGCCTTCTTCCCTCTTTCTTGGCCCCCCCCCCCCCCCCAACCGCAGCACATGCTCACCCCAGCACTCGTCTGACCGTGCAGTAAGCTGGTTTGATTTGGTGGTCTCCTGCCATTTGAGAAGACCAGTTGGTTTAGTGTGTGATAAGGTCAGAGCTAGAACAAGAGAAGTGATGGGAACGTATGGCTGGGGTGGCAGAAAGGAGAACAAGAAAAGCTGAGAAAGGAAGGGAATTCCTCCCTTAGGGGCTGTCGTATTGGCCCAAACCATTGCATGTTAATGTCATTATACGTTGTATTTTCTATCTGCTGCAAAGACGGAGAAAGTGAAATTGCTCCTATCAGATAGGATATCTCCAGGAAAGCGGATTGCTGGTGGAATGGCTGGATTAAATATAATAGGACCTCAATTTTTTGGCACTTGGATTTTTACCAGCCATTTTACTTTTAGCAAATTTCATAATGGGAAATACTTCCATACTTTGAAATACAACAAATCAAGGAAATCAGAAATCTAAGCTTAAATTCAACCTTCACTTATACCAATTTTTCGGAACTTTTGCAAGGCTTCTCAGGGGCTGAATGATACCCCAAGTTCACATATCGGTTGGGGCACTATATGGACTAATTCAATAGCAAGCTACAACCCAGGTCTCCTGGGGCTGAATCATGCTTGCACAATGACTCCAAAATTGCACCTCCCTGTCCCGGCTGATTCTGTGCACCCGAAGGAATTATTTTCCCCTTGGCTCAATCAAATGCTGCTCTGTAAATGCCCTTAAAGTGAAAAGACCAATAAACTTGTTATACGTACCTGGGAGCCTTAACAATATATCTCTTGTGATGGGTTTTTTCCAGGGCTTTGCATATTACTTTGAAAGAAATTTTTTTGCCAAACATGGAAGCAGTAGGTGTTATTTGAAGCACAGAGTTTAGGGGCAAGGAGTTACTTGAGTGGTCCAGTAGGTCTTGTCTGATTGCATGCTCTTCCAGTAACCACTGGATGTGAGTATCTTTGGAACAGAAATCGCTCACTTTGCAGAGTAAAAACAAGAGTTTTCCATACTTTGGCTCACTTGGACTAAGGACAGTATCTGTAACTTTTGGACCACCCCCTGCCCCCATACACACAGAGATGATATAGTAGTTGTTAATGCTAGATAACCAGAGAAGGATGTGAAAAGTGGGTCAAACGCCTTTATTTGCTTCTTCATAGCCTTGGTCACTTACATATTTGGGTATTTATACAGGAAGCAAGATGGATCCAGTGTCATTGAGGAATGCAATAAGTAGGAGAAATGATGGTCTTGTGACAGCTGAAAAAACAAATTTCTAGCTTTCTACATATAAAAAAAAAATTTGCTACTTGTCCAACTATAGAGCTTCTATAGCAAATAATAAAATAATTACACATTATATTTTTGGCTTATGAGTTCTCAACTTCCCCTTGCTATTCCTTTTGGCAGCCCCTGAAACAGCTATGCCAGCACAATTGGAAAGGTGGTGAATTATGGAGTTATAAGCACTTTCCCTGCTGAAGGAAAAATCCCTTTGCTTTCTGAGAAAGCATCAGTGTCATACTACTCAAAAATCTCTTCAAGAAAATATTCCATGAACTCTAAAAGCTGCTCTCCGCCCCCATCCCCACCTCCGCAAGAGTTTCAAGAAACCTTTAAAGATGGAAAGTGTCAAGCCTGTGCAAGGGATCTGGTTCCCTCATTTCCAGTTAGGTTGATAGGAATACAGATGCTGTAGGTAGCGTTGAAATTCTTAATCTAGCTCTACTTCTGAAGCTAAACTTAGAGCTTGGGCTAGATTTAGATGTGTATCTGGAATGTTTTTTTTTTTTTCCTCTTGTATGCACTGACTTGTGATGCATTGTTATATAGTCATCTTACACTAGGATAATCGATCAGACTGCGTAAATCAAAACCAATTTTTTTTCTACTCTGAGATGGTTTGTGACAAAGCCTGTGGAAATCTTATCGAGGTGATAGGAGCGGTGTTTGGGGGGGGGGTTCCCCCCCCTCTTTTCTTCATTGTTCCTCCTTATCAGCCCACCTAAAGCTCTATGCATTTCCAGCAAGTCTATGGGTATAAATCTGGATGGGCAGGAAATAGCTGCACTATTGTCACTTCAGAGTAGACTTCGATCATGTAATTCATGATAGACCTTACGCTAGGCATTTTGAAGCAGACCAAATAAGAAAGCAAAAACATGCTACCCAAGGAACATGTGATGAAACAATCACTTCTGAAGCTGAGAGAATAGGACTTTCTTATAGTACTGCTAGAATGCTTAACTTCGACCGTGAACTGCCCTGAACGGTTGTCTTGTTGAGGTGTAAAGGCGACTTGGCTTTCTTTGTAATAAAGCTTTGTGGCCATCAGCCAGGGACCCTGTGTTTTAACTTCAGCAGCTGTGAATCTTTTGAAGCCTCTCGTCCAGTATATCTGACAGCATGCAGGGAAGAAACTTGTCACGGTGCGGGATAATGTGATAGGTTTCCCATATGCAGGGATTTGGGGTGTGCACACAATTTCTGAGATTTGTGGTTTGCATACTGCAAGTAAAACAGCAAATAGAAAGAACACTGAATCAAAACAGCAGATTTTTCCACTATGTTTCCAAACCCCTGTTTGTTCATTCTCAGTGGTATGATAACAGTGACTACATGAGGAAGGTTAGAGGAAGACAGGAGTGAAAACCAGAGTAATACTGAAAGAGAAACTCAAAAGGTGACAATTCTCAGAATCCAAGAGAAACAGGAAGTACTGCTTCCAGGGACATGTGTTCTACTCACTAGTGTGTTCTTCTAATCTTTTATATAAGCAATTTCCAGGAAAAACACTTTGAAAAAACTAAACATGTCCTGTTTCTGCATGATAGGGTGTTTGTTGCAGTTCTTTAAAATAATCTCCTTCTGATACCTATGTGGACACAGTTTTGTTTAGAAAACTAACATCAAAACAGGAATTTGGATAACAAAATGGGATATTCAAATAAAATCCTGAGGAAGATATCTAGTGCGCTGGAAAGAAAATAGGACCTGTCCTGATTCTAATCTAGACCAGGAATAGTATAGATAGTCCATCTGTAAAATCGTAGTACGGGCAAGGCAGGACATATTTTTAGTATGTTTGCTAACTGAAACTGACCCAGGGCACCCAAATGCCAAAACTGCCTTGTATACCCTCAATTTTAACTGTGCTAGTTAAAATACTGAAAATTACGCCTGTCCTCCTAACATAGCCACAGCATTAAGGTGAAATTTACTCATAGGTAAAGCTTCAGCAACAAGAACTTCTTCACTCTACAAGTCTCCATGACTTTAGTAGTGCCTTTGACTTTTGCCTTGGATTGTCTCTGCGCATACATGATGAACCCCTGAGTATTATGAAGTGACAAAGTGATGGCAATTTACCTTTGTTCAAAGAAGGGCATCTCGGTTACAGGCACAGAGATTTCATGCTACTAATAGAAATGTAATAAAGTTTTTAACTTACTCATATTTTCAAGCTGCCAAGCAGAGTCTTTATAGTGGTGCAATCCTTTGAGTTTAGCTTTGCACACAAATCTTTTCCCGAAATCTTCTGTTCAGGGAATGACTTCTAATACACTGTTGCAGAAGAAAGGACCATCTGAACCCTTCGTCACAAAACTCGTGAAGGATCCTTCTGAGAGTTGCTCTCCATCTTTATACCAGCAAAGCTCAATTCTTTCAGGAAAGAAAGAATGGGCTCTGCAGGTTAAAGTCAGGGATTCCTCAGCAGTTGGCTCGTCTGTAGAACGCTGTATTGAATCCAATGCTGCTGGGGCTGAAAAGTAAATCATCAGATTAAAGAGAAAAAAAAATGTGAACAGTATATGACCCAGTACTGTATGACGCTGATCGCTTTTGTCCCAGATGCTAAGCACCATGAGCCCAAGAGAAGCCTATGCTATAAACTCATGAACCGTGTTTTATGCCGTGCTCATCTCATAGGCGTCTTGATGCCATTTTCAATATGCTGGTATATGTTGTGAACTGCAAAACATCAGAGACCTTATAGCTTTGAGGCACTTCTTAAGCAAATGGCCTTTTTATAATAATATTCAGTCTGGCAAAGTCTGGTCTGCCTTTATGGACCATCCAAAGGACAGGGGACCACCCAACCCTGGCAAATGCTGTGAACTGACTCAGGTCTGCATTGTGCAGTTGGCAGTCTCTGGAGCCATGTTTACCTAGCCTAACATCTCCCACGGGTCTCCTCTGGCCACTGTGTGATGCTACTGTGGTGCCAAAAAAAATGTTATTGCTAATCTTGTGGTTCTTTCAGTTCAAATAATTAGGAAGCTCTGTGTGTGTGGTGTTTTTATTATTTTTTTTTAAGGGGGGAGGTTTTCACAGTGCAACTCTGAAGTCATATTGCATGCTCTGCCATGTGACATGGAGGCACATATGTGCAAGGTACAAGGCCCAAAGGGATAATGTTGGACAGTCCTAGGCAGAAAGAGATAAACTTGGCATACTTCATGTTCAGCCTGGCTTAGAAAACTCTGTATCCTCAGCAGACTTTGTCACCTGGCTAACTACCTTCAACCAGCTTGTTTGTGAGTATGTTTATCAGCACAGGTTCAGCATAATTTGGGCTATTAGTACACAGCACTTATAAAGCTACAGCTGTATTACAGGATGTTTTATTGCTGCCCTGTGGCTTTAAAATGGGGGAGAGGGGGTGGAAATAAAAACAGTTTGGGCACAGGTTTGTTTACGGTACCGCTTTTATAATTCCATCCAAAGATAGCAACATAGACAACCAGTTAGAGAAAAACAGACTGGTAGTGGTCTGAGCTCTAAGTCACTGGAAGAATTTGAATAAGGTTATAATATTGGTGATTCTGTGAAAAGATTAATTACAATTACGTACATCACCGGCATTTTCAAAGCTGGAAAAGCCGTTCCAGAACGCCAATAATAGACTGTAAGCAGATCAAACTAGACCCAGCTATTCCTGATACAGCACAAAAGCTCAGTGGAACGTGCAGCCACACACAGCAGGTTATACCTCATCTCTGAACTTTAGAAGATTGATTAGAATTAGATTTTATTATCCTATTTAGGAGACTGCATTCAATCGAACAGCAAACAGCTTTGAATTCTAATATATCAAAGTGCCTGGCCCAACTTTTTTTTCCCCCCCCTATTTTAAATCTTAAAATTTCATTGTGGTAAAATAAGTCTGCATCTAACATCTTTATTTGCATTAAATACTGTCTTATACCGCAGAATGCCTGTCTTCACACACCTCAGCTATCCCAAACTGACCTAGAGCACAGCAATAGGAGAAGGATGGGGGAAAAAGATTAAATGTACCCTATGCAACTGTGAAACTCACCTCAAGGAAAAAAACCAAAGATTTCGACTATATAGTAGGTTATTAATCACTGACAAAGCAGGAACAGGAGCCCAGACACTTCCTACCTAAAACAAGTTACCGCCTTTTTCCTCAGCAATAAACACAAATCAATAAAATAGGGTTAATGTTCTTCTAATCTGGCATATTTGTTCACAACTGCAGGTATTAACAGTTAATTGTGCTCCACTTAGGATATCAAGTAGCTTCCCTCAGTATACTGTAGGCCCCAAATCCTACTGCCTGGTCTGCACCCAAAGGCAAAATTTTTTGCTTGGTTTCCTTGATGCTTAACGCCATGGTAAGTGTTTAAAGGGTGTTTGCTGCTTCAGACATCTCCTCACTATGATCTACTAGCGTTTGAGAGGCTAAGCGTGCCTTCTGTGACGAGAACGTGCCTCCTCCAGGAAAATGCAGTACTCGCTTCTCCAGCAGCTAGTTAAGACAGCTGTGTATGAAATACATAGTATTACTAAGAACGATTCTGTATGACCACGTAAGAGTAACCGCTTAATCATGTGAGAGTGTTTGGGGCAGAAGAAATGACTCTTCGGAGACAAAGCACACCCATTCTTGTAACGGTGAGCTGAAAAGTGGGAGTTTTAAAATGGACACTTGATTTGAAAAATTCTGTTTTAATGATAGCTGTAGCCCTATCAATAGCAAGTCCAGACAGCTACTGTCTGGCAGAAATTAAGCAATACGCCTACTGCATGGCAAAGCAGCTTGCTTACCTATGACATTCAGTGGTGGTGTTTGTTCAAGAGGACGTGATATGAGCATGTCATGAATAACTTCAACTGAAAGCTCTGCTTTGTTACGATCACATATGTCTGGAGATGCCCGATGAGTGCATGGAACAGTGAAAGTGCCTTTTTTTTTTCTTTTTCCACATGCACCTGAAGTATAAAAGCCTTTTGATCTTTTTGATCCTTTAGGGGAATCGCTTCTTCTCTTTCAGCATCACATTGTACGCTACTCCAGGAGAAAATTGTCACCTTTCTCTCTTGTGGATGCTTTAAAGTGTATGGTTATTGGTTTGGGATGAAAGCCCACTATGGTAATTCAAAACCATTTCTTCCAAATGCTTTATTTCTAAGCGTCCCATGAAATGGTATTATTTTTAGAGGAACTATAAGCAAAAAATGGCTAAGTTCATTTCTAGATACACACCAAACTGCAAAGAATAGCAAGGAAAAAAAAAAAAGAACACCAGTTGTTCTCTCTACTGTGTGAACTGCATGCAGTTTTCAGTCTCAGAAGTATCCATGCTGTCAGGAGGTGCTTTGGAGAGCCCTGGAAGCATAGTACAAAGCTCACTTCCCTCTCTCCCCTGGGCATGGAAGGTGATGCTGTGCCAGATAAGGTCGTCTCTGCTGCACCGCACCGCAGGTGCGTGCTGGAGAGGCTGCCACCTGGGTCACCAGGAAGGCTTATTCCCTTCCTCACCAGCAATAGGCAAGTGTAGTCTCCCCTTTCCAACCACAGGGGCGTGAGGTGAGCTAGCAGCTGTAACCAAAACAGTTGGGAGGCAGACTCCAGTCAGCTGCTGGGCTGTGCTGTGAGGAACCAAGCGCTAAGGGGAAAAGGTATGCAGGGAGCAAGCTGCCACGCATCTCTGCTTGGACAGAGGTGAAGGACTAAGGAGTGGTCGTTCTTCTCCTTCTGCACTTACACAATGCAAATTGCTGCCTAAAATAAGTTCAAGTCTGTTTTATTCCTTTTCAACTCCTAAACATTAGTTCATTCCTCACTTTACAAAGGTTTAGACGCTATACTGCAATACTGTGTAAATAGATCTTGCTGCTTTATTGCTTAATGCGTATAATTAAATTCCCTTGATTGAAAACCAATTATTGAAATAACTTTCAATCCACCATTGTTGCCAGACCTGTCACTATATAGTCAGCTACAGCCAGCCTTCAAATTTTCTTCCACGTAAATTTTTTTGTGAAAATGATTTAGATGTGTATATGTATTGTTATTTCTTCTTAATAATAAAGAAAACAGCATCAAACAGGTAAAGCTTTAAAGTTTCTGCTGATGATACACTTGCATGTGCAAGTATGACATTTATTAGCCACTCTGAGTAAAATTAAATAGTATCAGTTCATCCTTTTGTGGAAATAGATGAATACAGCGCATTTGATCCTAGCGGTATTCTTGTACCTCATAACCGCCCTGTTGCAATTTCTTTTTAAAAAAAAAGATACTCGGCGTGCACGGAGCATACCCCTGGTTTTGTTTCCGAGAGCTTGAGACACACACAAAACATCTAGGATGTGTCTGGACTGAAAGATGAGGTATGAGATGCGCTTAAGCTGGCGGAGACCAAATCAGTACCTTGCTGATCCCTGGTGTCATCAGCCAAGCCTGCTATCAGTGAGTGCAGTCTGAGCCAGGAGTGAGATCTGCGCCGGTTTGAATCCGGCCAGCACAGGTCCTCCGCACCGCATTGGCACCCTGACAGCTTAGGAAGCTCTAACCTGACTGCAGCCAGCAAAGTAGTAAATGAAATCCCGTTTTTTTTAGGTAAACGGGAACAAAAGCATGCGAGCACAGCTTTTGGGAGCTGTGGCTAAAGATTACAAAAGTAGTAAGGGGTATTCCAGTGCTGGCTACAGTCAGCTGGCCCTTCCTATCAGCCTTAAATCAAAGCATTTGCAAAAACTGAATTTTCCATTTAGAAGTCATTAGCATAGTACATCCTTAAAAACTACTTACGTGGTTTATAATGCTTAATGTACAGGAAAGCAATCGGTTCAACCAAAAGACAGGTCACTATTGATACAATGAGAGAGCCAACTGAAGTTCTGATATCCAACTTGGGAGCTGTGAATAATTAATAGGTAAATTAATAAAGGCAATTCTGATGACACTGTAGCAAAGCTAACTGAATTAAATCTACCCATCAGGGTAGATGACTGGCTAGTTATTTTTCTTGTCTGAGTACTGGAAATATAGTGAAGTTAAAATATAGCCACAATTATTTATATTAATATAATACTAAAAGGTAATACTGATATATTCAGAAAATGTTAAACTGTATCAAACCATGGTTACTGGGAGAACTGCACTGTAGTTAGAGGACACTAAGTGTTTCTTAAAAACTTGCATTAGCAACACATCAGCGATTGATGACAATACAAGTGTATGGAAAAGAGTAACAGTATTTTGTTGGAGAGAGGACTAAATCAACTGAATCATTAAACTCACTGAAATACTAACACAGTGTCCACAAATGTCCTGAAGACAACACGGCTTGTGAACAGAGGGAATGAAGTTGTAACAAGCCAAAGCAAAGTAAGGTACCGTGTTCCTAGAAGTTCAAGTTGCTCAGCACTATTGTCTCTGCTTCAAAGTAAGATTTGTCTTGCCTCTTCTATCATCCTAAAAAAAAATATATATATATATATATATCTCCAAAAGATGCTCTAATTGCTGTATTTCAATCTCTGCTTTATATGATTTCTTTAGTTATGAACAGAAGAAATGAAATGTGTTCTGGTGTGTGTCAACAAGCCACACTTCCCACAAGTGTCACTGCATCATGCGCTCCCCAGCCTGGCTGGAAGAACAGCTCTTTGAGGAAAGATGGCTAGGGCAGGATGGCACAGTGCTTAAAGGGGTTGAACTTCCTAAAGACAATGTTGAGTGTACAACATGATCAAGCATAAAGACGTTCAAAATAAATGCGAGAATGAAGAGCATGAATACCTGTGACGGTCAAGGTAGCGTCCAGAAGTATGCTGTCAGTCAATGATCTGTGGTTTGCAACACATCTATAAACATTTCCATTGTCTTGCAAAGATGGTTGCACCCTTAACTTGCTGTTGATATTAAATGGGCCGTCATCACTTTTGACAGAGGCCTCTATACAGGTATCTTCTCCTCTCACAGTAGTAACCTGACTATCCTTTACAATCTTAATCCACTTGATGTCAAGTGAACGTGGAAGGTATTTTTTGACTCCACATGTCAAGATCTTCTCCTTATCACTTTCTATTGTAACTTGGTTTGGATACAGGCTGAGATGGCTGAGCTGTATGGAAATAAGCATCCATAAGGTGTTTCATTGTCATGGATAATCCAATTTTCTGTTAGTGATCTTCAGATGTGCACGTATACTAGCTGAATCTTGGATATGTGCAGTAGAGACATGAAGGAGCTTTTAAATTTAATATATTTCATAGATGAGAACACAGCAAAAACATTTATGTAGAATATAAATAGTGCATGCAATTAAGTTCTTTATTTCCATGTATACATGGAAATATATATATATTCCATATATATATATATATGGAAATAAAATAGGAAATAATATAATCAAGTTTCCTAAGAGAACATTTATGGCACTGACTTTCCTCCTCTCTTGCAAAAACAAACAAACAAACAAAAAAACCCACCAACCAAACAAAAAACCTCATGGAAAGTTTTTAGTCTAAAGAACTGTAAGAACTATTGTAGCAAGCAATTGGGGAACATTGAACGTGGACAATGGAACTAGAGATAAAGGTAAACTTCTTCCTTGAAAACTTAAGGCATGTTTTGACCACAATGCTTCATTCCTCCACCCCAGCTCTCTCAAGTTTGGCTATCCATTGGTGACCATTCTTCCCCTGAAGCTTAGAAGACTGAAAGAACTAGTATCTCTAGGCTGGCTGTGACCCACTCACCCACACACCCACTTTTTTACCTTTAGAATTTCAGGGAAAAATGCTATTATCAAATGACTTACCAGCTAAAGCAGCTGTTCCTTGAGCATCATCAGGAGTGACAGTGACTTGGCATCTGTATAGTCCTGCTTCCTTCAGCTGTATTTGTGTCAGAAATAGGGCAACATCGCCCTTTTTTTTTTTTTTTTTCCCCACTCTCTAACATGTAGGATCCAATTCTAAAAGGATGGTGGTTTCCAGCCATAAATGTAAACAGTATTTTTCTTCCTGGTCTGTATCTTGGGTTTTTTAAATAGCAAGTGATTCTCGTATTGTTGATATCCAACTGTGGTCTACTGTACTTGGAGATCAAGCGTGGTATGGAGATAGTTGTATTCAGGAAGAACATCATTGGCTTAGTGCTCATTTGCACTTTCAGGGTCTCTTCAAAAAGGAAACAGCATATTTTAAGAAATGCATTCATAAAAGAGTTCTTGAATACAGGGCAGCTTTTATTTGGCTCTTGAGGGATAATTCAGTTCTCAACATCCTATTTCATTATGCCACTACTTACTGTTCATAATCTTTCTCTGTTTAAGCTTCTGAATGTGCATGTTATACTGCTCTGTAGTCCTTCTCTTAGACTCCCTCTAGTGAAGAGATGGTATGCAACAGGACATGTGAGCAATCTTTCTGTATTATAATGCATGTTGTAGCACTTCTTCATGGTATTAAATGCATTGACGAGGTCTGCACAGCTTGTAGTACAGATGTGGGCTCAGGCACATAATTAATAGTCACAGAAGTAGCTAGTGTCCTTTTTACATGTATAGAAACCTCCACAGTTTGCAAGGTTGCCTGGGACTCTTCTTTCATGGCCGAATAATTCGTCCTTACGTACTAGCCAGGCTACTAGCCAGGAGTCTGAATTCTTGCAGCGTGGTAGGCTTGCTCCTCCCTCCTCCTTTCTAGTGTCAGAGCTAGTAATAAGAGGACTTCTAAGTTTTGTGCTCCCCTAATACAGTACTACCAGCAATAAGAAGCTATTGGGGGATATGAAATGAGCTATTAGAGGAGAAACTGTGGGTGTACATACACCCCCTCCCCCCATCATCTTCTAGAACAAAGAAATCATGACTCTACGAGCAGTCTCCTGGAAGATACCTGTGAGAAGTTGTGTGTTAATAAAATGCACATTTGGGAAAACAAATCGTTTAGAACAGAGGCCAAATGCCAGTCACCGTGCAGTCGTTCAGGCTGACAATCTCTTGAATTGATGGAAAAGGTGGAATGAGTGGAGAGCTCAGTTCTGTAGTGCTGCTCTACCCCTACGTTTGTCCCCCAAGAATATGGCAGGTTTAGCAATTTGGGTGTCTCTGAAAAAATGACCTGCCCTCATTGTTATTGTATTTTATTATATAAGCAGGTATCCAGGCTGCTGTTCAGCACAGTATTGGATAGTATCATTACAAAAAGTGTTAGGTCTTGGGCCTACAGCAATTCTGGCAAGTATAGCTTTTAAGACATTAAAAAACATTAGTGTAACTGTTTGTAAACAGTTTTGGTGTTTGCTACCTGGATGCATAAATAATAGAACTTAAGCCAGTTCTGTATTGCCCATTACATACAAAATAAAAATGTTTACATTTTTAGAAACACAATCAAAATCAGATAGTAAGTTTTACTGTGTTTTCAGATGGGACTCATGTCTAACTACCTCTTAATTTCAGCAAGTGATAGATATTTGAAGATGTATAACCAGAAAGTCCTTTCTGGCCAACCTAAATGACAAAACCTGGCATCTACCATCTAGTTTTTCCATAAACCACAAAAGGACACTCTGTAGCCTAGAGCTTCATTTCTTTACAAAATGTCACCACCATATATCACATCTTTCTTACGCAAGGTGCATTTGCAAAATGCAAAAGTTTAATGTGGCTGCATGTAGCATCATATCCCATGGATCTCCTCAAGAGATACGTTGCCACAGCCGTTCTGGTACCCCGAAATAGCTGGCACCTACCTTTTGGCTTTGAAAGCAAAATCTGTACGCGAATACACCCCAGCCAATAGCAAAATCTGTTACTAAATTTGTGGGTATTTCACCTTTCCCTTTCACCTTCTCTGGGATTTCTGTTTTGAGTTTGAACAAATTAGAGACTTGCATGTCTCTAATGTGTTATTATCAAGAGTTTGTAATGCTGCAGTAGTAGTTTTAATAGTTTGTTTTCTATTTTGATGAATATATAAAATTGAGCATTTAGGTATATTTTTTTATATATAAATTTTTTTTAAAGAACACTTGCACATTTACAAATAACAACTGCAGTAAGGCAGCTGGTGCCAGAAAGAACAGACACTTAAATGTTTTTACATACTTTTTTCACCTCTTTCCAGAAAGCAAAGAGTAGAGGGTAAGAGGAATAGGCTCTAAGCAGAAAGATAAGTTTTGTTTATGGACAAGCCTGGAAACCTGGAAAGCCTTCCCACTTTCCTGTACAGTCCAAAGTCTGCACAGCCTTAGGTCTCTGTCTGTGCCTGTTTACTTCTCATACAAACCCTGCAGCGTGAAAGACACCAAGCGCAGTGCCAGCACCAGAAGAAAGGATTTCCCACCCCAGAGGCCATGCTGGGAGCAGTCCCGGGGGAACTGGCCTGGCCTTGCCTCCCTTACCAGCTGGCCGGAGCCCGCTGTGGGACCCACAGCAGCAGCCAGAGGATGGGGCGACCCATGGCGTGGCGTTGCTTGCGCTTGGCCCAGGGGCATTGGTGGGCACCCTCCCTCCTCCAGCACAGCCCAGGCAAAGCCCTCCACGGTGGCACTTGCCTCTTCCATGCCCATGCAAAACACCAAGCTGGATGTCTGCCACCTTGCTGAGTTTCAATTTAGTCCAATTAAAAACTAGTCTATACAAAGTACAAGCAGGGTGTGTTTTTCCTACAAATATTGCACTGGAGGATATTAATTAGTACAGCATTGACCAAATCTTATCCCTTCATCCTCCTACCAAAATAAAATGTCTACTACTTTTAGTCTTGAGACTAGTCTGTACAAAGTTACATTAAGTTTTCTTGCAATGGCCTTCCAAAGGAAAAGCAGAGTAAACCCAAAATGGGGAGCGCCCATGACACTGCAGTCACTTATTTATCTTTGAAAATGGAAGAGGTAATAGCTTTCTACTTCCTCATTTGGCTATAAGCTTAGTTTAATAACTTTAAGATTTTAAAAAGCTCCTGAGAAGTCAGAACCATGGTGGAAACAGGTTTTAAGTGGATAACACTTTTTAGTCTGTTTTATGGAAGAGAGTATCCAGTTAAAAGAAAACATAACTGAAAATAACAAATACATTAACAAGCAACAAGTTAGCTAAACATTTCATATATAAGCATGACTTCTAGCACGTGGCATAACCATTAAGGTAGGTGTTCCTGACAGTGACAGACCTCTTGGTTAAATCACACTTCAAACTTAATTCATAAAAATACTTCGTCTTTACTACACTCAGACAGAGACTTCTGTTCGCATGGGCCTGAAGAATGGTGCCCTTCTGCCATACAGGAGAACGAGATGGACAGCATCAGGTCAAGCTTGATGCTAAACAGCTCAGACCTGGAGAACCCATCTTTTGAGAGTACATCGAACTCAGCCCTTGCCTATGCAGACACGTAAAGCAGAGAACCATTTATATGAAACTTTTGAGTTGGGCGGACAAGCATGAAGTTGTAACTGGACAATCACAACTCAAAAACATTTAGGCAACAAACTCTCAAGATCTATTGAGTAGGAGTTAACTATCACTGACAACTGAGCCTTTGGTGATTTCCACGTAATTTAGGGCAAGCAGTTGTCAGCTTGACTGAACATTTGATTGTTGTTATAGATCTGACCAAACAATTTAGAGGTTAAAAGACTGCCTTTTTCTACTTCTACAAAATGATCATAAAGCCTGTAGTATGTATTGTTGAAGTACAGGCTTACTAATTAAATTAACACTGACAAGAACAACATTTAGATTTCAGATAGCAGGCGAAGGAAAGTGCGTGCTGCTTTATGCTCAACACCCCTTAGTGGCTATTGAAATGTAAAACTAATAACTTCTCCTAATACTAACTCATGATGAAGTGACAACTGAAATCTCTGGCCTCTGATGCGCGCTACACCATGGTGAGAAGAAGCCGAGCTCAACACCTAAGACTCCAGAGTTCTTTGGAAACTTTGGGTGTTTTCAGGGGTTGGGCTATCGGTAAATGGGTTTAGAAAGGACATAATGCCTGTCCCCTACAGCAGGGAGAGAAACAGGTGCTTACAATCAAAATATAACAGCTGTTGCACTGAAAACTTGAGCTAGGCAAGCACTTGAGAGCAGATGCTGCATTACAAATAATGATACTTGTTACAAAACAGATGTAACAGGAAAAAAGTTATTTGTATTGTAGAAATGCCTTCAGACCAAAGGTTTCAGTCCTTAATTCTCAACAAACATCCATATCATTCCTCCTGTGTAAATACTCCTGGGGAGAGGGGAGACTGGAAAACTTCCCCTTAATTTTTCTGTGATGTTTGAGTAACTCCCCCTCTGCTTCCCTCTTCACTGTGTTCTCAGTTATCAGCCTATAATCCCACTGCCAGGGCAACACACTGAGAAACTCTGTTACAAGTGAAAGTAATATCCCTTGCTAATGTAAGTCCATTGGATGTAGCTGTAACCATGTCTGCGCCTCTTAGCAAACAGATAAAACTGCAGAAAGGTAATTCAGCCTCCAGACAAAGATACAATCGAACTGATGTTAAAATAGCAAGAAATGACTAATGGTAGACACAGTTTGAGAAACCAAACTAAAGTGTTAACCACTGGATTAAGAGAGGGGGGGAAAAAAAAGGTAGAAATGTCTAATTGTGGCTTGAGCAGTATGAATACCACCAAAAAAGAAATGGGGCATGACAATTAACAAGCTAAGGAAAACTAATCTATTATTTCTATTCTATTATGCTGTGTGGAGAACAAGAATGTGCTCAGTTCTAATGAAAGAACCATCAAACAAGGAAAGGAGGATGCCTAGTTGCTATCAATTAAAACTTTTCAGAGTTGAGAAACTTCTCAAATGTCAATAGAAAATGTTAGTAATTGCCTCCTACCATATTCTTCAGCTTGCCTAACATATTCAAGCCTTACTCTGAAAGAAACATCTTTCCATAACAGAGGCTTGCCTCCATTTCTTTGCTCAAAACCCAGATGATCTCCTTTCATGTCAGCAGTCAGCCATAGATTAGGAAGGAAATGCAAAGGATGCTTGCAAAGTGTGTGTATATCAGTTCAAAGCCAGCGTTACACAATCAAAATAATTCATGTTTAAAAACAAACAAACAAAAAAGACCCAAACAAAGTTGGGGCTTTAGGATACTTTCAGTCTGAAATAGATAATCAACAAGGACAATCACACAGGTTTTCTATATTATAGCAAAACCCACAGGAAAATCAACTTTTGGTTTTTTTTGTAAAATCTTGGTTTACAGTATTAGGGAGTTATTCTGGTTCAAGACCAAAACAATACAATCAAGTAGCACCCCTGTTCTAGAACATGTCATAAAGCTATATCTACTGCTGAAAGATTAATAAGCATTAATAGTGAGACTTTTAACAGTCAAAAAATCATATCTGAAAAGAGCTTTTTGAAGCACATGGCGCATTTTGTAAAATAAGATATTATCAGAGGAGGTAGGATAATCTGTACAGAAAGAGACAATGAGTCCTGTTCTGTTTTGCACAATATTTCCATCAACATAAAAATCTTAATAACATGCAAAATTTTGCAATCAGCTGGCACCTGATGAAAGAAACAGAGATAAAAGTACTGTCCTAAGAGCCAGTTGAGTATTCAACTGCCACACAAAATTAATCTTAGCAAGGAGGATGGTTCAGATCAGTACACCAGAAGTACAGTATTCCTATTGAAGGCTTACAGTGAAATTCTTAGGCTTCTGTAAACATGAAAAATATTCACTGTTCCACATAATTGTGGTGGTTAAATTTTAGAAAGTGCAAATTTTCTATGATTAAGCATGCAAAGTTTGATTTTTTTTTTGTTTGGTGTCAGAGAAGAAAGGGGTTGGTAGTGCTGGAAATGGTAGACCTCTCTTTATCTGTGGTCTTCAATTCCCCATATTTTGCTGCTCAGCATTTCTGGAAAAAGTTTCTACATAAAACAAGACCTAACTTGGTATTCAGCCAGGTCCCTGCTGCTTCTCTGAGAAAATTTTGATTCATGGCTAACTACAGAATGGCAGCTCAGCCAACTTTTTGTAGAGTACAACAGCTCAGTCACTTGGCCATAAAAACCCTCAGCACTGGTAACTTCATCTCCCTCTCCAATATAGCCTCTAAGTGATCCTCTTGTTGCCTTTCTCAATGATGCATTTGAGAGAAAAAATAATTTAAATTAGTGATTCAAGTCTGATCAATATTTAATCTGTAACATTCCCAAAGAATTTACAATCTGGGGAAGAAAGTGGAGAGTTCATGGTTTCACTCTGATTTTTTTTTCCCCCTTTACCCTCCCCCCAAAACAAAGGACAGTATAAAGTTGAGGCACAAGTGGTTAAGGGTGAACTTGAACATGCTCAGTTCTAGCAGCTGGTTCTTGAACATGTCCTGGTGGTAAAGGCTGATCACCTCCTGCAGGATGGTTTGGTGCTTCTCCAACTTTCTGTTCCCCAGCTGTAAAACAAAAATAAAACCTCTGTAATTTCTTTATTAAATTAACCCCAAATATGAAAAGTCTCTAAAGGAAAGTTTCCAGTGCAGGGACAGTCACACATGAACTTCTACTGTTGGTTTCTAAGTGGAATCAAAATTTGTATATGTGACTTGCAACAAAATCAGAGTGAGACTGCCCTATACGCTGCATTATTTTAATATGCAGAATGTCTTCTTGGATCTAATTGTGTCTATTTTCTGTAAAATGTTCTGTTCTCCCTGTTACATAACACGTTGGCTCTCTGGAGATCAAATTGTTCTTTCTACAACGTATTACTTATTTGTGAAACCTCTAATCCAAATGTGGGAAGCCTAAAGAAACAACTTGTTCCTTTATTTTATTCCTTGCTGTGTCAACAATACTTTTAACGTTTTCCCCTTGCCTACCTTGGAGTAATGCTAGTTTTTATAGATTGCCTAAGATTCCCGAACTTGCAGCCATGTTTCTGTGTGTGTTTTTAAAACATCCTTAGTGTAGCTCTCTAGTAGCCTGGAGATTAGACATACTAGCTCTTTGAGATTCAATAAACAAGTAGTGACCGTTTGTGGCCAATATAATTAACGTGTGCAATAGCTAATTAAATGACTTGGCAGAAAAGCATTTTTTTTTACATTTAAAAAAAAAATACACATTTGTTAAGAAGAGTATTTGCCACAATATTGCCAATGTAACATGATGCATCATTAGTTCAAGCCCCAGGGCATCTGTGATTACACACGGTACTTTCACTGAAGTTCTGTATGTGAGGCTCTCAGAACGAAGGATCATAAAATGAGATTAGCCACAGGCAGTTTTGAAGTAAATCAAAGACAAAATGAAATCTTTGCTCAAATTTCATTATTTTTTCGTGCTGCTCACAAAACTGAGCAGCTTAGAGATGGAATTTCAGAGTATTCAAAGCGAGCTGTAATCAGTGACTCTAGCAGTTAAGTTTGAACTCCTGCTGTTGGCCCTGCAGGAGCAGTTAAGTACATCAGTATTAAAATAGCTGTTAGCATACAGCCCAAGGCCTTATGTTGGAAATGAACGTCAAAAACTTCTTGTGCCTTAGTACTGAGGATCTTAGCACACAAACATGGAAGCCAACAAAGGCATATTAGTTTCAACCTTTCTAGAGGAGAAAAAAAAAGCTAACTTAAGATGTCTGGGAAGAGCAACGCCCTTTTGAAGCACACAGGAAATATAGACAATGCATTAAGGATTAGAAAAAAAAAAAGCTGGCTACCTTTTTTTTTTTTGGACATCAAAGAATAAATGCAATGATTTATTATGTCTATCCCTATCTTCTTCTGAGGAAGTTGAAGTAATTGGTCTTTCACACTGTCTAAAACCAACTTGTTGTGACATGTCGTGCCCAGTTGCTGACAAGCTGGCCACAGAGAACAGACCCATTGAAAGCATTTAAATGTGTACCTCTGTTCTGCAGTCTGAGACTGGGACCATAGTTTGGAATTACAATCTGAAACATGAGAATAAGCTAATGGAGACATAACACAAGGCCTCACTGCTGATAGCCATGAAGTGATAGGGGCATCAAACTTAGCTTTTGTGTTAATATCCAGGATCAAGAGCAAGGCTGTTCAACAAGCAGGGAAGCATACGTTACTATGACTTCATATTCTTGGTACTCAAAGCAGGTATGTTACAGCATGTGTACACAAGGCAAACTACCTTTAATCCACCTAGATCTGCATTGGTAATGCAGCCACAGAACATCAGACAGGCCTGGTCACTTGTATGTCCCCATTTCTGCCTGAATGCTCAGAAGTCCTAGATATCCTAGATCTCCAGTATGTTTAGACTGATAGGCATAACGCTTGCTCCAACAAACTGCAGTCTGTCCTCTCTACCCATCTGATGCCTCAAGTTTTACAAGAGTGAACTTTTTTTTTTCCTGTGGACTTCAAAGTACTGAGATTTCAGAAATCCTTTAGAAAAATTCCATCCTTCCCTCTTAAAGACAGCTTAGTGAGCCTCTCAAATATATTTTTCATGACTTTCACATTGAATAACTTATTTTAAAGTTTATGTATCTACACAGAAAAATACATACGGGGTTGGAATTTCAGTTCCCCAGCTGGTCCTGCAGGAGGACTTCCTTGCTGCAGCTTCTTTTGTTCCATCTGTTTCACAACCTGGTGAAAAATAAAAGATCACGCTTGAAAAACTTAACTACATCAACTTCTGATGTGATGTAGCTGATTACACTTAGAGATATATGCAGTCATTATGTGAAGGCTTTGTTAGTGGGGAAACTACTGAGCTGAGATGCTTGCATTGCTTGTTATAATCAGAGGTAACAGATTACGTTCTGCTGCAGTGAAGTTAGTTTAGAATTCAGCTGATGCTCACAGGAGAAATAACAATTTAAGGAATGTTCCAGAGTTAGAGACTGTTGTGATCCTTTAAGGATATAGAAAAGGAGAGAATCCTTCTCTTCTCATGAGCGTACCTGCTGAAATTCTTGCTTCTGAGCCTGAAGCTGGTCATGCTGCCTCTGCAGCTCTTCCTTCTGTTTCTGAAGATCTTCTGCCTTTTTTCTAAGTTCATCTTCCTGCTGAGAAATATGACTTTCAAATTCCTTTAGCTCCTCCTCAGTGAAGAGCTGCTGTTGGTCCAGCGTCTGCAAGAAAATATATACAAACATGAATACCTGTACAGGATTACACATCTATTTTGATTATATTCCCACTGGAACTAGTATTAGTTGGATTCTACTCTCCCTCACCCCCTCAAATTTGATCAAATGACCCTCAATTTTGATCAAATTCCTCAGCCATGTCACTGTAAAGGGTTATTACACCTCATTTTGAGTAACAGGGAAGTGCCTAAATCCTACTAGAGATTTGGAGTTTAGGGAAGAAGATTCCTCTTGTTTCCAGATGAGCTCTTATCTTCCCTTTAAAGCCATTCATAACCAAAATGTCCATTTTGTGTTTGAAAAGCATGTGCAAACAAGCTCTTCTAGAATCCACAAGGTGGCGCAACACCTTTTATATTTGTGTGTGGACCACAAAAATTACATCTGATTTAGCCACACACATACTACTACAGGATTTAAAAAAAAAAAAAAAAAAAAACACCAAAGGTCAGAGACATTGGTTGCCATTCTGTTTCTTGGCTTTAGAGTGATGGTAATAGTACAATATGTTGCACTTGCAGCACATTCTCCTCACCTCCCAGCTATCTGGCTCCAAAAATTCCTTTTTCTCTGTAGCTCTCAGAAACTCTTCCAAAGTTACTAGCCGATCCTTGTTGACGTCGACCTATTTGAAGCAAAAAATTAAACTCAACCTAAAGGATGTTTTTTGGTGGAGATAATATTTAATTTCATTATGCAAATGCCTTCAAATTTAACTATTTCATTTTTAAACAGTCCCATTTTTAAATGAATGCCTTCAACATCTTTTTAGAACAACTTTTTTCCTCAAAAGTTCCTATCGTTTAACAAAAATGGAAATAAAAATTGAATCCTCATATTTTACTTCAAAATTGATTGACTTCATTGGAAGTATTATGTGTGGTTACAGCTCCAACACTAATAGAAGCATACATGGTTTTTTTTTTCCTGATAAATATATTGTTATTTTCTGCTAACAATTTTGTAACTGTGAGTCAGAGCAATCTCCACTGCTGCATAGGACAATTTAAAACAGAGAGGAAAAAAAAAAGAAAACACACAAA